CCACCAAAAGCAGCTGCTGTTGGGATGTACCGGTTGAGCTCGTGAATCATGGACTTCTCCCGGTGACCACGCATCACCATTTGCTGCTCTTTCAGTTGTTTAGCCACATCCTTTGCAGAGGAGCCAGACACATCAATCCATGTCTTCGAGAAGAATGCACAGGATCCAAGCATGAACACAATGTAGACAATGCAGTGGATCGGATCCTCAAGAACATGAGAGAGGGTGTCCGGTGGTGAGAGGTAGTAGCAGATACCTGGAACTCACAGGCGTAAGGGATCTCCAGTTTTGAAAACTTCTAGAAACAAAAGCCTAGAGTATAGCCCAGTCAATCGTACCTCCAGTTGGGTAACTACGATAACTTCCAGAGGCATCCGACCATGTTCCGAGAATGTTCACAAGGAAGTTTCCTCCGAACTTAGCTGCGAGCATCTACAAAGTTTCTACGATGTAGAGATGGATATTTTGAAATGTCTAAAAAACTAGAAACAGACCTGAGAAATGACATAGAGGTTGGAAACGAGAGCGGATTGGAGAATAATAGGGATGTTGGAGGTGTAGAAAAGCTTGATAGGATAACTACTGTACTGTCCTCGATATCTAGCGGATTTGATTGGGAGATCAACACGGAAGCCCTAAAATTGAAATATAAGCAAAATCAATCAAACTCAAGCAAAGAATGTACCTGGAAGTAGATAACTACGCCAAACACGACAAAAGTAGCCATCAGGTTCATCAGATTAGGCAGATTATTACGGTAGAAAGCTTCTCGAAGAGCTCGAACCTGCGGATGAAATGATGGTGACTTGACCACGGAAAGTTTCCAAGCAAAAAACAAACCTTGTCCGTGCGAGTGGCCAACAAATGGAACAATGCGATGACGGCACCTTCAAATTCTGTTCCTCGACCAGTATTCATAGTTGCAGGTGAAAATGCTTTCCAAACAATGGTTTCGCAAATGTTAGTGGCAATAAACAGGGATATTCCAGATCCGAGACCATAGCCTTTCTATAAAACGAATAAATTAGCAGAGGTGCGCGAAAGAGCCTGAATTTGTTCTTTCTAGGATGGTTCGTGGGAGAATCATAAGGAAGCTATCAAAACCAATGCATCTAATATCCGCATAGCACTTTAGCAATATCTCTAGTAGCAAAAAGAATAGCAAGATTTTCTTTGAAAAACCTAAATTCTTCAACCTCAGGCCGAGAAACCTGAATTTCTGATGAGTCTGAGAATCAGAATTGACCAAGCGGTAGCACTTTTTTTTTTTTGAAAGACATCAATGCCGAAAAATCTTTCTATCGTTGGTAGTTTTTGTTCCTCACGCCAAAACCCAAATGAAGTTCCCACCACGAACATTTCTACTTATGCAGCTGACCCTTATCAATCACCGAGAATTTTCTATCAGCAACTCACCTGCAGCAACTCATCCAAGAGCAGAACGATGAGACCAGCAATAACTAATTGCACGACAATAAGCAAGCAAATTCCGGCACCAATTTCAGCAGGATCTCCATACAGTCCAGACATTACGTAAACAATTGCCTGTCCAACGGTGATCACCATACCGAACACTAAAACGTCGAAAGGATCAGATCAAAAGTGCTGAAGCCCTAAGAGAAAGACAAGCCAATCTTGAAATAGTCAACTAACTAACATTTTTGGGCTCCGTTGAAGAGGGCTCGATCCTTCGGCGTATCTCCAACTTCGATGATTTTCGCACCAGCCAGCAATTGCATGATCAAACCAGATGTTACGAT